CAAACCTTTTTTAAGGTAGAGTCTTAATTGCCTATAGTATATTTGTGGATAAAATAATTTACAAGTATTTATGACATTTGTTAAGTTAAAGACTTGAATATTCATGTTACTATTGAAAGGCATCTTAAACATTATTTAAATTGAAAAAAATTATCATTAAATTAATTAAATAGTCAATCATGAGTTGAGGAAATATATATCATACGCGAAAAAGAAGAAAAACAAATGCTGAAAACATGAAGCCCAGAAAAATTCTAGCTAACCAGCTGTCCGACTCGGACATTTTCTTGTGTTGTCTGGACGTGTTAAAAAAGTGGGATGGACCCTACACAAACCATACCTCAATCTCAAACTCATTTAACTAACGAATTATGGTATAATAAGTCAAGAACATAAAAAGAAAAGCAGTTAGTTCCGAGCCAAAAAACAAAAAGAAAAGCAGTTAGTTCCGAGCCAAAAAACAAAAAGAAAAGCAATTAAATACTAGTAACTCTTCTTTTTCCTTTGCCAACAAGAATTAATGCACTTTTTTTTTTGTCAACAAATTAATATAATTAATTGATAATAAGTTATTTTACATTTTTTTTTTGGTAATTAATTATAAGTTATTTTACATGATTGTTAATGTTAGTGAATCTTTTATGTGCTATTTCTGGATGGCTCACGGTGTGCACCCGTGGCGCAAGCACCCATATCCATGTATATTCTTTGTACACATGGTATTTAATTAGTATATTTACTAAAGAAGAGTTTTGAATGTTGGTCAGGAGAAAAAAAAAAGAAAAACAACAACAACAACAACCACAACAATAACAATAGCAACAAAGAAGAAGAATTTCAAACTATTTTCTCAATAAAGGAAGTGAAACTTTAATTTTATTGTAAAAATATTTTACATATGATAGTACAACATTATAAAGAGTATAATAATTTACAGAATAAACATTTCTAAAATCTACACAGTAAATAGTGATAGAACATACACTAAAAGATAAAATGGTATCACAAATTAAATTACGAGTTTAACCAATAGTTACTTAGAACTTGTTTGGTTTGAGATAAGTGGAGAAGAGGAGAGGAAAAAATATTTCATCTAATCAAATTAATTAAGGCCTTGGCTTAACAACTTATATATTTTGATTTGATTAGCTAAAATAATATTCCCTCTCATCTCATTCACTTCTTTCAAGCCAAACATACTCTTAAAGGATATATAAAATCTAACGATCCCTAATCTCAGTTTCCCCCCACTATAATTCTGTACCGATCATCTTCATCTTTGTAAAGGGAGATCTTTTTACCAACCGTAACGCCTTTCCCCACTCTGAATGCATTCCAACCATCAGTGAAATATACCTGTCCGTTCTGATTTTTGATGGTAAGCGTCCACTGAGTACCCCCCTCATCTGTAACTGACAAGCTTCCGAACTGGCCAGGGTTGTTGCAACCAAATGGAAGATTTGCAAAGTTGGCACCATGAGGAAACCTCATTCTACTTGCAAGGTCATTGCTCTCAATTCTCTTATTCTCAAAGATGGTCGCCATTGTGTTGGATTGAATAGAGTGCGCTTTGATATAAGAGAAAGAGAGAGGTTGAGAACTAGAATGGTATCGGCTCTTAGATCGACCTATATTTATAGCCAAAGATATCAATTAACCATCTCGCTTAATTAATTAAACAAATAGATTACGTACGTATTATTGTAATAAGATTTAATGTTTTTTTGCACGATGTGAATTGGGACTTCATTAGGTAACGGATTGATCGATCGAGAACTTATTACTTTCGAAAGATGATTGGGATGAGTCCTAGAGATCCAAAAATGGTAAAAGTCGCGAGATTATACGATTGATGGGGTTACACTTCCGATACTTTATTAGCTATGGTGATGTTGGACAGTTAGATTAATCAATTTATATACTCTTAACTGGCAGTGGCGCCGTCCTCGCGCTCCCAATGATTTTCATGCTGAACTCAAGTAGTTAATAATTAGTAAGCATACGAGGTAGTTAGGATTTGGTTTTGATTGAGAGAGAAACCGACAGTTTTCTTGCGACTTTTAGTTCCTAATAACGTGAGAGATGAAAAAAGAAAAAATCGCGATGTTTTATATATTAATTAAACTCACCTTTGAATTGTTCCAACTTATCATCTTTGGGCAATTTGTCAATATTCGATAATATATCTATTCCTTAAATATCTGTTTTTATCAGCAACATAATATATGTTGTTTTATCGCGAGATGGAGCAGCGGGATAGGGTTTATGCCAGCGATTTTTTTTTTTTAATTGTCATCTATTTACTTTAAAAAATTACCTAGTTGAACATTTTACAAAATTCAAACTAAGACAACTAAATCAAACTGGAGAGAGTAATATTTTTCTACTCAATATATATTCATATTCATGTTTGTCCTTAAATCAATGGGTTATATCTCTTCAACCACTTTTATAATTTATTGTAAAAGATTAACATATACTTTTCTCAATTCTAATATAATTTTTGTTTTTTATTTTGAATTTATACAAAATTAATTATTATTTTTTGTTTTTTAAATACATAAATATATATTTTTTTCTATTTTAATCCTACTGTTATTCATTTATTTTAATTAATTATCTTGCTTGATTAATTAAACAAATAGATTACCTACCTAGGTATTATTGTAATAAGAGATTTTTTTTCCCTTTTTGCAAGATGTGAATTGAGGCTTAATTAAAAAACGGATTGATCAATGGAGAAGTTATTACTTTCGAAAGGTGATTGCGGCAAGTCCTTGCGATCTGGAAATGGTAATAGTTGCGAAAATCATATCATTGATCGAGTTCACTTCTGATATTTTAATAGCTATGGTGATGTTGACCGTTCAAAAAAAAGAAAAAACGGCTATGGTGATGTTGGACAGTTAGATTAATCAATTTCCATACTCTTAGCTGGCAGCGATGCGGTCGTCGCGCTAACAATGTTCTATTTCATTATGAAATTAACTAATTAGTCAATAATTAGTAGCATACTAAGTATAAATAGATTACGTACGTATTATTGTAATAAGATTAATTTGTTTTTTTTGCACGATGTGAATTGGGACTTCATTAAGTAACGGATTGATCGATCGAGAACTAATTACTTTCGAAAGATGATTGCGATGAGTCCTAGCGATCCAGAAATGGTCAAAGTTTGCGAAATTATACTATTGACGGAGTTACAATTCCGATATTTTAATAGATATGGTGATATTGGACAGTTAGATAAATCAATTTCTATACCCTTAACTGGCAGTGGCGCCGTCCTCGCGCCGCCAATGTTCGATTTCATGCTGAGCTCGAGTAGTTAATAATTAGTAAGCATACTAGGTAGTTAGGATTCGGTTTAGATTGAGAGAGAAGCCGACGGTTTTCTTGCGACTTTTAGCTGATATACGTGAGATGAAAAAAAAAAAAAAAGAGAAGATTTTTTTATATTAAACTGGGAAAGCAGACCTTTGAATTGTTCAACTTATTATTATCTTTTGCTTGTGAATATTCAATAATATATATAAGAAAAGTGTATATTAATCATATTTATAAAATTTTAAGTGAAAAATATTTGAAAAATATTTTATTTTAATAATAATTATTAAAAAAATTAAAATATCTTCATTATTAAAATAGAAATAAGGTTATCTTAATTTTTTAATACTTTATTAAAATTCATAATTTTAAATTTTTTACCATTTTTTTTATAAATGTAACAGATAAATATTAACA